TGATGGGGCTCTACAGGGCAGAGGTGGTCAGCTACCGCTTGCCATCCTACTCCACTATCATTTGGAGACTTGTATCACTAACACACCAGTCTAACTCATCTATGGAGGCCAATGCTGTTTCGGTGTTTACTGGGTCTGAGGGTAGAAAGGTGGGAGGGGATGCTTAGCAGGCTCTGTAGGTTTCCTTATCACCCCAAAACATGCACATAGCCTCAGAGGACAATCTTTCCTAAGAAAAAGGGGGGGGGGAATGCCACAGTTCAGACTGCTGCTTCTTTTGTCAAATCAGCATCCATCCTGATAACATCTGTTTCACTTGTTCCCAGGATCCTATCTTACATCAAAGTGAAGTCCGTAAAAGCCATGCCAAAGCAATGTCTTGCTTTGAAATCCATTCTGGTTCAGAGAAGCAGTTTCGGATTGTGGACTGGACTCAGAGTCTGGAAGACCCGAGTTCTAATCCTGTCTCAAATATTTAAGAGCTATGTGACCCTGACCAAGTGACATACCCCTCTAGGCATCAGTTTCCTTGTCTGTAAAATGAGGGGGCCTCAGTGGCCTCCAAAAGCTCTTCTGCCTTTAGTCTAAGATCTTAAAATCAAAGATTTAAAACTCCTTTCTGTGATCCTATAATTAGATGGCCTCTAAATATATGTCCCATCAGGACCATATAAAATAAGCCCATTTTTACAGATGACTAAACTGAGGCCCAGGAAGGGATTTCCCCAAGGTCACACAGATAGCAAGCCCTGGACCCAGAGCCTCTGTACCCAGACCCCACTTCACCCTTCTTCCCTCCTTAGCCTCATTCTTCCTTACTAAAATCTGAACCCATTTTCCATGGGTCAGTTTCATTAAGGCATCTTTACAGTTTTCTCCAATGCTTCCATTTCAGAAAGGAAATAGTTTACACTGTTCCATCCCTACTTGTCTCTCCAGGAGGGTGAAAACTGAAATGAAATGTGGTATAGGGGCCAGAGCATTGGACTCAGAGGGAGAGAGAGGGAGGGAGGGAGGGAGGGAGGGAGGGAGGGAGGGAGGAGGGAGAGAGAGAGAGAGAGAGAGAGAGAGAGAGAGAGAGAGAGAGAGAGAGAGAGAGAGAGAGAGAGAGAGAGAGAGAGAGAGAGAGAGATTGATTGATTTCAGGAGGGAGCAAGAAAGGTTTCCCTTAGAAAATGGCATATAAACTGCACCTGTGAGGAAGCTGGCACTTCTGAGAAAAAGGAGGACATTCCAGGCGAAAGGAACAGCCCACAGAGGCACAGATGGGAGATCGTCTCGCACAGGAGGGAGTAATGGAAAATTAACCTGGCAAAGTAGGCTTCAGGACTTTGCCTATAAGTGACAGGAAGCTATTGGATTCCCTGAACCTCTAAGCTTATATCTCTTCCTTTTGAAGACTGGAGCAGTAACATTTGCCCTCTCTACCTCACAAGTTTGTTGTGGGGAAAGTTCTTTGTAACCCAGTGAATAAGTGCTCCTCGGAGAGTTTGGTGGGGAAGTATCCTTTCTGAGTTCTACAAGAGAATGTCCATTTGAATTTCATCCAGGACAGCCCATCGGCAAAGCCTTGCTCCAGAACTCCATTTGGCATTAAGCACAGTGGCATAGTGGTTGGAGAGCTGACCCTGGAGCCAGGAAGACAAGGGTTCAAGCCCCAATTCTGACACATACTGTGTGATTCTGGACTTGTCACTTAAACTCTCGGATAGACAACTTTCTAAGTCTATAAAGTTGCAAAGAAGAGGCCAACCTGCTTTGGTAGAGAGAGTTTCCTCACCCTTGAGTTCCCCATATTAATGAAATCATAGGTCCAGACCCCTTCCCTTTGCCCCACTTCTTCGCAAAGGTGGGACACTATGGGTGCGGAACAGTGCATACACATTAGTGTCAGGCTCTGTGGATGTGCTTGTATGCAGAACAACTTCCTTCTCTTCCTTTTTTCATTGTTATAAGAGATGATTGCTTAAGGGGGAGCAGAAAGGATGTACATTTGGAAATGAAGGTACTAGGGAGGCAGCCTTGTACGGTGAAAAGAGCAGAGGCTTTTGAGAGCAAAAGCCTGGGTTCATAGCCCACATCTGACATTAACTAGCTGTGTGACCCTGGGCAAGTCTCAACCTACCCATCTGAAAAATGAGGTCATTAAGTAGCCTCTCTAATCCTTTCCAGTTCTCAGTCCATGAACTTACATAAAAACAAAAGCTATCCAAAATTTTTTAATTTGATTTTTTTAAAGAAATGTCAGTGAAAGTTCAGAAGGGGATGATGCTGTCACCAAAGTGGCCATAAAGTGCCAAATCTGACCAGAGGGAGACCAGAAAATGTCAAGTCATGCAGACTTAATTGGGCTCCACTTACACAGTGTTTTTATGCCTGCTGCTGCAGCTGATTGTGTCTGAGTGACTAATGCCTTTCTCCTCAGCCAAAACGTTGGTTGCATTTTAATCAAGATGCAGATGTTAGGGAAGAGCTGAGACCCATACTTCTCTGGAGGACCCTCTCTAGTGGGTATGGGAAGTGGGGGAGGGAGGAAGGAGTGTGAGAGATTATTGATAAGAATATTAAAAAAACAGCCAGCATTTATGTAGCCCTTTAAGGTTTGCTAAGTGTTTCACAAGTATCTCATTTTATCTTCCCAATAACCCTGGGAGGTAGGTACTATTATTATCCCCATTTTATAAATGAGGGAACTGAGGCAGACAGAGGTTAAGTGACTTGCCCAGAGTCATACAGCCAGCTAGTTTCTGAGCCTGGATTTGAACTCGGATCTTTCCCAATTCCAGGTCCAATGCTTTCTATCCACTGCACCAACTTGCTAACTTCCTTACCACCACACAGGTACAGGGTTTGTTCTACACCCTGAGGAGCCAGCAGAAATATCCCCCTTTGCTTCCAGACAGTTGTACATAACTGAGGGACCCCACGTCTAGAGACCAGAAATAGAGGAGGCTTTGTCAAGTGCCCCAAGTGTGTACATGGAGTTACATACACACATGTACACACACACACACACACACTCACTCTCCAGTTCTTAGTACTCTCTTCTCTCCCCCTCAATTTTCTTTGTACTTTTTCAGTCCTGACAGGTGACCTCATCTATGTGGGGAACTCCCAGTGAGGAGACTCCCTCCATCAAAGTACATTGGTAACTAGCCTGTAGCTTATAGTCTTAGAGCTACTCAGGGGCACTGAGAGGTCAAGTGGCTTAAAGTCATAGGATTATATCTAGAAAAGATATTAGAGACCACCTAATCATAGGATCCTAGCATTCAAGTACTAGGGAACCACTAACACAATCTAATCACAGAATTGGAGCTGGAAGGGGATCTTAGAGATCATTATTCAGACACACTGCCCATTTTACAGATGAGGCAACTGAGGTTTCAGGGAACTGAAGGGACTTCTTCAAGGTCATACTGGTAGTAAGTAGCAGAGCTGAAATTTGAACCCAGGGCTTTTGTCTCCCAGATTTTCCTGACTCTAAGGCTGGCTCCCTATCAGATATACCACTCTGCTTCTCATACTTTGTAATTATTTTGTATCTTGTTTGCCCTGATTTATCTGCGTTCAAGTTGTTCCTATCCCTTATTACCTTCCTGTTACCTTCAGGAGAAGGTAAGCTCCTTGAGGGCAGGGACTGTTTGTTCTTTTATCTTTGTCTCTTTGGTGCTGCCTCACCTGGCCCATGAGGGCCATCTCCAGTCATCCTGATCTACATTTGGCCACTGGACCCAGATGGCTCTGGAGGAAAGAGTGAGAGGCTCGTGACTTTGCACAGCCCTCCATCACTTAATGCCAAGTCAGTTGCACGTAATGGCATCACCTCCCTGATGTCATGGTCCTCTTCGAGAACAAAGGACAAACAACAACAATAACCTGGCCCATGGGATTTGTAAATTACTGTTCGATTGGACTGAACTGACGCCATCCTTATTTCTCTGAGTTCCTGGCATGCAGAAGAAACTTGAGTGACATCCCTCACCAATTCTGGTGGGACTCAGGTCTTTTCCAACTTTATGATTCCCTAAACATCTGAGGATTGACAAGAAATGTCAGTGCTGTACTGGAAAATGTATTAAATGAAGTCCTAGATCTAATCACATTCCACTAGGATTGTCTGTGACCATAGCGCCTTCTCTGTATATTTCTAACACCCTCCACTTGGCATCTGAAATATAGCAGAAAGAGACTTTGGAGCCTCTACTGCTCATTATATGGGTGACCTTCAATAAGTTATTTAAACTCCCTGGGCCTCAGTTTCCTCATCTGTAAAATGAGGGTATCAAGTAGCTAGAGACCTCTGAGGTCCCTTGTAGCTCTCAATCTATCTATAACCCTACAAACTCCATTTTCTCCTGGGGGAAACAGAGATCTCACTATTAAACTGTAAACTCCATGAGGACGCAGAATGTCTCTTATCCGAGCTGTTCTTCCCTCCTCCATCAGAGCCTAGTACAGTGCTCCACGTACAGGAGACACTTAATGTTTATTGAATTGAAAAAAGAATTACTTATCATCCAGTAAACAAATTGAGGTCCCCATTGGCTATAAACCGGGACGTCTAATGAATGACTGATGCCTTTCATCAAACTCTTAAATTGGTCCTAGAATGTGCTGGTTGGCGTTTTCTGAATCACTTGGACTGCAGGTGAAATAGTTCACAATCACATCTGGCTCACCTCCTTCTATGTTCCCAAGTATCTTCTTTTTTTAAATTTTATTTTATTTTATTAATTTATTTTGATTTATCAACAATCACTTCCATATGCTTTTGAGTTTAAAATTTTTCTCCCCCTCCCTCCCCACCACCCTCCCCAAGACAGCGCACAATCTGATATAGGCTATACATTTACATTCCATTAAACATATTTTCACATTAGTGATGTTGTACGTGAAAATTTAAAAAAAAAATGGGAGGACCCCCAAGTGTCTTCTAATATTTGTCATTTGAAATGGGCCTGTTATTAAATGCTTTTCCCCCCTTTTTTTCACAACAGAATCTAGCCTACGAAATCATACTAACACTAGGACAGGCGTTTGAAGTGGCCTACCAGCTCGCGCTCCAAGCAAGAAAAGGTGGGCATTCCTCAACGCTCCCAGAAAGCTTCGAAAACAAACCCGCCAAGCCCATTCCCAAGCCGCGAGTTAGTATTCGCAAGTCAGTGGTAAGTAGGAGGGGGTCCCCAAGACTCTAAAGCCATCCTTGGGCATGTGTTTATGCCCTCCCTTACTTCCCTCCTCAAGGATCTGAGCTAGTCAGATGCCACAGATAGAGCCCATAATTTCCCCTCCCTCACTGCCCAATAGGGAGACCAACTCAAAGGCAGTGGGCATCAGAGAAAGGGTGCTAGGGTTAGAATCTGGAAGAGCTGGATTCAAAACCTAGCTCAGCATCTAGTACCATGCCTTGCGTTATTAGAAGTGCTTAATGTTGGTTGAAGAAAGGGCTATGCAACCTACTAGCCATGTGACCTTGGGCAAAGCGGTATACTCGTGGAAAAGAATATTGGCTTTGGATTTAGAGGAGTTAGCATCAATTCTCACTTAGCTTCCTTCTAGTAATGAATCTATAAGCCGGAGAGTCTTACTGAGTTTGGCTTTCCACCTTTCCTTTGGTACCCTCAGGAGTCTCAGCCTAATTTGGAAGATCAGAGATTTAGAGCCGGAAGGGACCTCAGAGGTAACACTGAGGCGCAGGGTAGGGAGATCATGGTCTCCTAGGCCTACATCTGGAGGGAGAAGCAATCTGGTCCAACCCCATCGTCTTCCAGATAAGGAAACTGAGTTGTAAAGTGGCTTGATCCCAGTCACAACATAAATAAATGTCAACGTTTCGCGCCAAATCCAGCCTTTCTTTACCCTGTGCTGGTAAAAACATCAAGTGCCTGGCCCCCATTTAGAGTCACTGATGAATGTATAAATGATTGCTAGAGTGGACTGAATTGAATCCAGCTTTGTACACACATTCCCAATGGCTTCATCAATGCCTGGTACACTGTTGTCGTTCAGTCATTTTCAGTCTCGTCCGAATCTTTGTGACCTCATTTGGGGTTTTCTTGGCAGAGATACTAGAGTGGTTTGCCGTTCCCTTCTGCAGCTCATTTTATAGATGAGGAAACTGGGGCAAACAGAGTTAAGCGACTTACCTAGGGTCACACAGCTAATAACTGTCTGAGGCCAGATTTGAACTTGGGTCTTCCTGACTCCAGTCTCAGTGCTCTATGTAATGCACCACTCTAGCTGCCTGGCACACAGCACATGCTTAATCAATACTTGTTGATTGAGTTGCCCTCTGTTACCAGCATGTAGAGGCTTTAGCAATATCACTCATTAATTCTGGTTGGTATAGGTTGGACTTACGTATCATAATATTAGCATGAGACTTCTCTTCCTGCATGTCCATATGTATGTTTGTATGTCTTGTATATGTGCGTATACATACACATATGTATATACATATGTCTATATGTGTTTGTGTGAATGGAAATGGAGTAGGGAGTGCAGTTTTCACGTTTATCCCTCCATTCTATGATAGACACATGGGATTGTAGAGCCAGGCCTGAAAGAAACCTCGGAGACCATCTAATCTAACCCCCTTACTTTCCAGCTGGAGAAACTGAGGCCTAGGGAGTGACCTACCTTGCCCAAGATCATCCAGGCAACCAGCACCAGGGTGTAATAGTTTCATATCACCTTAATGATTGAAAAGAACCAATTTTTCAAAGCTTTTTCTATTGGCCTGGATCTAAAACAACCACATACCTCATCAGGTGCTAGGGGAAATCTAATATAAAAGATCACTGGCTTGGGAATCCAAGAGAGGTTGCCTCCTTTTCCAGGATAAAACTCACATCTATGCACAAAGGGAGGCTTGCCCCCAACATGGTTGAATGTGCTTTGTAGCAGACATTCCCCATAATCTGGCTTTGAGAATGGTCAGTTTACCTAATGTGGAGCTGGCTGCATCCCCCAGCACATGGGTGGGGATAGCCTCCTTTGGTCAGCTGCCTCCTTTGATTGAATTGTGAAGGCTCCACTGGGTTACAACCCGATAGCTGTGGGGTGAGACACAGCAGCGGGTGTGGGCCTCCAACTTCTCCATCAACCTTCCTCAGCAATGTTCCCCCTTTCCCTAAATGTCCTAAAAGGCTGGTCCTAAAAGACTCTTGTGTGTCTCCTGACTCCTGGGAGGCCTCATTTTGGTAAGAGTGGTCCATATCTGGGAGGCTCTCAGTCTAGCCCTAGGGGGCCAGGAAGACCCAGATTCAAATCCTGACTTTGAGATAGCCTGGCTATGAGACCTTGGGCAAGCATCAATGCTGTAGGCAGCTCTTGAAAACTATGTTCTAGAGAAGGTGCTGAACTCATTGGCAGAGGGATAGAGCAAGGAATGAGATCACATAACCTAACCATAGCCCCATGTGGTACCCCAGGAGAGACAACAGTGTAGCACAATGGGAAGAGCACTGAACTGGAGGAAGGAGGGGTCACGTTACCCTGCGTTCAAATCCATTTTTAGGCATGCATATATTCCCCCTTCACTTCACCTCCTCAATAAACACTGGCATCGTTCAGATGCCACCATCATAACCCATGATCTCCAAAAGAAAGGGTTCAATTACATGGTCTGCAGGGTCCATTTTCCTTCTAAATTTAGAAGCCCACCTGTGAGACCCTGGTCAAGTCACTTACCTCTCTGGGCCTCAGTTTCCTTGTCTGTAAAATGTCTGAGGGGCCTCCAAGGTCCATTCCAGGTTTAAATCTACACTCCTCTAAACATATGGCCAATGGAGGCCATATAATACATCCCACATTTTACAGATGAGTCAATGGAACCCCAGGATTTTCCCCAAGGGTAGGATTTTTTTTCTTTTTTTTATTAATTTGTTTTGATTTATCCACAATCTCTTCCATAAGCTTTTGAGTTTTAAAGTTTTCTCCCCCTGCCTCCCCATGATGGCGAGCAATCTGATATAGGCCATACATATACATTCCTATTAAACATATTTTCATATTAGTGATGTTGTGGGTAAGAATTAGAACCAATAGGAGGAACCACCAGAAAGAGGAAACAAAACACAGCAGAAGAAAAAAATAGCAAATAATGTGCTTTGATCTGCATTCAAACTCCAGTTCTTTTCTTTGGATGTGGAGAGCATTCTCCATCATGAGGCAGGGGTAGGATTTTGACCCCAGGCCTCAGACTATAACATTGGCGCTCTTTCCACTTTACCACCTTTCCCGCTTACCCATCCTTAGAATGAGTTGGCTGGATTAGATGGCTTTTCAGGTCCTTTCCATGTCTAAATCTAAGGGCCGAGGATTCTGTTACCTGGTGTTTGGTCCGGATATCAATGTCACAAGCAAGACAGGCCCATGCAGATATTGCCGTTTCCCAATCACTGCACATACGTACAAACAAACACACACACACACACACACACACACACACACACACACACACCCTTTCCAAGCCTCAGGGAAAAGTTTTCCCTAGCTAGGGGTCAGTGATAATTAAAGATTCCTGCCAACCCAACACAGTTCGGCAGCCTTTCTGAGGCCTTAGAGATGGATTGATAGGTGATTAGCAAGTTTTCCCTGTGTTCCTTGGTTTCCCCCTTACACTTCTCTGCCCATTTTCACTGCTGGCTTGATAAAATTATTCATACCGAGTACCTACATCCAACACTAATCGGGTCCCTCAAGACATCTTTCTGAGGAACATAAAAGATTGGGTGGCATAAGGGCTGATAGAATATTCATTGAAGGGCCTCCACTGGGGACTGTGAAAATGGAGGATGGAGATTGGTGTGCATTCACAGCCTCAAGGTCCTATCTGCTGTACACACACAACTGGTGTCATTGTTCACATTAATTTCCCTTGGCTCCACTACCTTCTTGTTGAGAAAAATTTAGTTGCTCCTGAAAATATATATAATCTTCAGTGCAGCCTTGTAGGTACATAGCTCAAAACGTATTCTGAAGGTGGCCAGATGGACACAAATCCCACAGCCCTGAAAGCAGCAATCGGAACCTCACAATAGCAGCAAATACAAAACGAACAAAGAATGACCTTGGTGAAAAACTCACTCTCGTTCATGATGGAGACTTGCTCTGGGGGTCATCAGAGCAATCAAAAAATAAAATCGTGGATTGGTGATCAGAAGAGACCTTCAAGGTCAGCTATTTCAACCGCCTCATTTGACAGATTGGGGAAACTGAGGCACAGTCCGATCAACCATGTTCAGAGTTTTAGCAATGGGAAGGACCTTAGAAACCCTCTGATCTAAACATCTCATTTTACATTTGAGTAAACTGAGGCCCAAAGAGGTTAAGGAGACTTTCCTAAAGCATGTCAGTGGCATTTTCATTTAACATTTGCAAGTAGTAAAGTGGCAACACCAGGATTGTAAACCAAGTCCAAATCCAATGTCCCTTTCATGGTAGCTCACCTTGTGCTCCTCCCACCCCTGCCCCTCTAAATGGAAGAATGCAGCAGGCCAGGAAACAGCCAACATATGACACAGTGCTTTGAGGAGTCACCCACCTGGACCCCTTACCCGCTACACGGCGCCCCAGGGATCCCACTCTTCCGCCACAACCTACAGGAAATGTTACCAATTTGATATCGTCTTTTGTAGCATTTGATTTTTCTCTTTATGTAATCATTTCACTGAAATCTCGATTTGGAATAGAATTGGTGTGCGATGACTTTTTTTTTCCAGCATATCTCCCAGGAGAACTCTCAGATATAGACCGAATCTTGATCTGCATAGAGGGGCATAAGGGAAAGGGCCCTGAGATTAGAACCTGCGAGAGCTGGGTTCAAATCCTAGTTCAGCATCTAGTCCAGTGACGTTTGCATTGGGCCCAGTGATATATTGGCGCTGGGGTTTGAGGGCTTGGATTCAAATCTCGCTGCTGATACTTAACTCCTTTTGTGACTGTGGGCAAGACATGACCTCCCCTGTGTTCAACTTCCTCCTGTATAAAATGAAGAGGTTTGGATTAAATGGCCTCTGGGGTCTTCTTCCAGATCTGTGTATGATCCTATCATCCTATGACTAGGGTTCGAATCTCAATCTGCCATTTGTCTGACCTGGGCCAAGTTGCTTTATCTCTCTTTTGTTACTTTTTTTTTCCCAGCTGCATCTGATTCTCCATGACCCCATTTGGGGTTTTCTTGGCAAAGATACTGGAGTGGTGTGCCACTTCCTTCTCCAGCTCATTTTACAGATGAGGAAACTGAGGCAAACAGGGTGAAGTGACTTGTTCAGGGTCACACAGCTAGTATAAGTGTCAGAGGCTAGACTTGAACTCAGGAAGTTGAATCTTCCTGACTCCAGGCCCTAGGCTTCAATTTTTAATTTGTAAAAAGAGGAGATTGGACTTGATAACATCTAAGACTCCCTTCCCGCTCTGAATCTATTATCCTTTTCTGAGCCTCAGGGTCCACATCTATCAAATGGGGATAATATTAATAATAATATTCGCATTTTTTACATAGCAAGGTATTCAGGTGGAAAGTACTTTGTTTATGGTGCGCTGCAACCCTTCGAGGATACCTAAAGTAAAAATGCCCATCTGTCTTTGTTTTAAAGCAGATAGACCCTTCGGAACAAAAGACTCTCGCCAACCTACCCTGGATTGTAGAACCGGGACAGGAAGCGAAAAGGGGAATAAATACCAAGTATGAAACTACAATTTTCTGATACTAAACCGCCCTCACGTCCTTGTTGTGCCTTGCACTCCAAGCAGTCACAGCCCAGCCTTCCTTTGTGGCGACCTTTCCACCCCGCCAACGGGGAAGCCTGCGCTGCCCGAGTGGCCTCATCACTCACAAAAGGCCCTGCGCACCAGCTATTTCTGGCAATGTTCTTCCTGAACCAATGACCGAAGAATGCATCCAAGACTTTCCCATTGCAATCCGTAAGAGGAGGGAGTTGACAGCCCCCCCCATTTCCCATCCTACTACGCCAGGCCTCCCCAGTCCTCACACACACACACACACACACACACACACACACACACACACACAAGGCATTTCTAGTGACTCTTGCCACCATGCTATCTTTGGTTGGTTATTTGGAGATTGTACTTTTTATTCTTCTTCTTATCATTTAAAAAGGGTCTCTAATGCTGCCGAAGAATACAAAAGCGTGAGCTTCTTTTTCATCGTTGGCAGTTTTAAAGTAACATCAGAAAAGACCTTGCACCACATAGTATTTGTAAACACACTGAATTGCTACCTATCATTTACTGTAGGCAGACAAAAAAAAAAAGATCCCAATAATTGCCAAGAAATTCTATTTCCTAATTTCTATACTTGTGGGTTTTCTACGTCATCAATTGTGTCATGATAGCCTATAAAGATAGCCTTTAATCCTACGACAGAGTTAAAATTTAAGAAAGGTTTAAAAAAAAGAGGAATTTATGCAAAGATGTGTCTCTTGTATTAAATATTTTTATTAAAAGAATGTCTCATCGATGCAACAATAAGGAACAGATGTTAAATGTTACAGGATATTTCTGCTTTATTTTGCATAATGAAATCTCTGCAGCTCCCACTTAAAAAAAAAAAAACTGGAGCAGCCATGGCCACGGGGGCATAAATTGCTCTGTGTAGGCAGAGAAATCAGAAGCAGGCAAGTCATTGCACTATGAAGAGATAGCATTGAAATGGAGGATGTTGCCGATAGCCATGAACCCTGCAAATGTTTTTTTAAATCTTTATGGCGTGTATTTAAAAAAAAAAACACATTTGGGACCTAGGGACCTTGCTATCGAGATTTCTGTGGTGGAAACCGTGTTTGAGAAAAGTGTTGATAAAATTCTATTGCAAAAATCTTTTTTCTAAAAAAAAAAAAGCAACAAAATGAAACACATGCAAAAAAACTAAAAAGAAGAAATTCCAAAGTAATAAAACTCTTTTCTTGAAATGAACCACAAAAAAAAAGAATTGACCATTTGCTTACTATTTGATGAAATAAAATTTACTTACATTTCTTTAAGGTATTTTAATTTTTTTAATGTCTCTGTGGAGTATTTGTATGATACCATAATGTATATTTATGTAGAACTGAATTATTAAAAAAAATACAGTACAATATCATTATAGACAAAACTGGCATTTTACTGTATATTGTTCTAACCAGTCAAATTGTGAATCACTTTGAAGTTCATAGCGATATTGATAAATTGTGTGGTTGTCTTAATGTTTTTTAATTAATTAACATTATTTTAAATCTGAGCTTCTCAGTTATGTTCATCGCTTGGTGAATGCCAGCGATGAATAACTGAACTTCATTTTGAACTGGTCAATGAGTATGATTTCGTTAAATCTGATTATAGCTCAGAGTGATACCAACTTTTAATACCGTTATTAAATTACTTGAACAGAAGAGTTCCTTGTACATATCTCGCCTATTCACTGTTGATATGTATGTAGTCACTTGACAGTAAAAATAACACTAAAAAAATATGGTATCCAAAGGAAATTGTATAGGAGCTAAGCAAATAATAGCCTCATTGCAACAGAATCATATGTGTAAATATGCTTGGGCTTCCAGTTATAAATTTTGTAATTTTGTCATTATTTATATCCTATAAAAGCACACATAATAATAAAATGGAAGTTGTACAGTCACTGATGCTTGGCATCGTTCTGTGCCTCCTACCTCCCAGATTTGGGGAGCAGCAAAAATCAAGGCCCACTCTGTGGAAACACCCACAGCTAAAGGTCATTCCAAGTTTTCTCAAACTCTTCCTCTGCTCTTTCTACTCGGGATGAGAAAGGAACTCTGACAAGCCTCTCTCTGGCCCCTGAATAAGAACCGGTAGCCTGAGTTGGCTCTGTAGAATGCCCCTCTACCCCCTAGAAGGTGAATTTCCAAAGGCCATTCTCTGCCCAGTGAGTTGATGGGGACCACACTGGGTGACTCTATGGCACAAGGAGGCACGTTTGGCACAAAAAAATCCCATTTACACTTCTAAAACTCACCATTTTATTTTGAACAGGACAGATCAGAAAGCTTTAAGATCAACTGTAGAGCAGGAAGGGACCTTAGAGGTCAGGGACTCCAACCCTCTCATTTTACAGAGAGGGAAACTGAGGGACAGTTAAGTGACTTGCCCAAGGTCGCACAGCTAATAAGATCCTAAGGCAGGCATCGAACTCAGGTCTTCCTGACTATCCAGGTCACCACTTCTCTAAAGCAGCCCTGTGTTTTTGAGGAAAGGATGCGAAATGACCCTGACCCTGGGGCAAAGGCAACTTGCCTTCCAAGGCTCACTCTCCACTCTCCCCTTCAACTCTTTTTCTCCTGGAATCAATGCTCTTCATTGAACTGAACAACCCCCCTTTAAGAGAGGTGGGCTGGAGAACACAACTGGGAAGAGCTCAGAGAGCATAATACACCTTCCTCAAGTCACTGTCAAGATCAGAGATTTACACTGGATGCTCTGGGACCTACAGAAGAAAAGACCCCTGCTGCTAGCTCCATTCATTCATGTAACACACATTTATTAAACACCTGCTGTGTTACAGGATCATGAATGTATAGCTGAAAGGGACCTCCAGTACCATCTAGTCCCCTCCCCATTTTACAGATAGGGAAAGTGAGGTCCAAGAAAGTGAAGGGACTTGCTTAGGATCACACAGATGGTCACAAAATATACAGTCATCAAGTCCAAGCCTCTCATTTACAGATTAGGAAACTTGAGGCCCAGGAAGGCTGACTTACCTAAGGACATGCAGGTGATAAGTGTCAGAGGTGGGATTTGAACCAGTCTTCTGATTCTAGGTAAGCGAGGGGGCTTGGACTCGAAAGTCACTTCCAGATCTAAATCTATGGTCTTATGATTATTTTTAAGAAGGAGACAGGAGAGCCAAGTAAATGGTCACCAAAACCTTAAACATCAATGAACAAATCACATGTAGAGGCCACACAGTACCACACCAGTGTTCTTGCTTGGACCACGTGGAACTAGGGCGGGTCCACCAGGGTTTTGTTTTGGGGCACTGAAAGAGGAATTGGGATCTTTCAGAACAGTAGGAAGAGCTCTGGTTAGCACCTAGCCAGCAAGAGTGATGAGCTAGAATGGGAGGCTACTAGACACCAAACATCCAAGGAAAGCTTCTCAATACTGCCCGCTTCCCCCCAAGTCACCACATAGTTTGAGAGAGTCTTTTAGCACCCCCTTCCCACCAGCTGAATCGAGGGCACATTTAAGTCTGTTTCACCCACGGATAAAAATTGCTAGTTATGGCTATCTCTGAGCAAAAATGGAAAATTAACCAGCACCATCTCTAATATAATTTTTACCAATTCTAATGCCAAATGGCAGAACACCCTCCATCAACAAGCATTTATTAAGCACCTACTATGTGCGAAATGCTGAGGATTCCAAGACAAAAATAAAGTGGTTCCTACCTTCAGTAAGGTGACATCCTATCCCAGAAGCCATGCACACATAAAAGTATCTTTCAATCAATCACTAAGCATTTATTAAGCATCTGTTATGTACCAGGTACCATAATGGGATTCCAACACTTAGCACAGTAGGTACTTAATAAATGTTTGTTGACTTAAAAATACAAAAGTGAGTTCAAACGTAATCTCTTTAAAGGCAGGAACAGTTTGCTCTTTGTGCCACTGTATTATTTAAATAGCAATTATCACCAAGTACTGACATCAGTATGAAATTGATATTCTTAAGCAACTTTAAAGTGACTTTTTTTTTAATTTGACCTGCATATAGGCTATTCCCTCTTTAAAATTAGTCATTACCAATTTTAGCATTTGGGGGTAATTCACTAAGTATTTTCTAGATGCACACACACACACACACTTGACACTTGAAAACCCCATTTACTTACACTTACTTTTATACACACACACACACACACACACACATCCTCACTCAGCTACTAATTCTTCTCTTTCCTTTAATGCTTCCTACCTGTGTGACCTTGGGCAAACTTCTTTACCTTTCTAGTTCTCCGTTTCATCATGGACTGATGACCTCATAGTCCTTCCCACTTGTAAATCTATGGTCCCATTTCCCTATTCACTTGTTACCTGCATGACCTTGAGCGAGTCATTTCATCTGCGCCTCCGTTGCCTCATTTGTAAAAGGAGGGGGTTGGTCTCGATCTCTAAGGTCCCTTCCGGCTCTAGAGCTATGACCCTTCCATGCCTCCCAGGCAATCCTACTTGGCCTTCTGTTCCAGGCTTCCCCTCCCATGCCTCCTGCTGAAATGCTGAATCCTGTATTTGAAACAGTTCCATGCCAATAGTATAGACTGGAGAAAGCGTAAGTGAACATATTGAGCGTCCTTAGAAGCCTGAAGGCTGGTTCTCATTTTCTTCACTCTCTGATTTCTTTGGGGCCCTGGACCCATGAGTCAGAATTTGCTTTGATGGCTAAATTAAGCCTCGTGCATGATATAGCGAGCTGTTCTTAGATCACTGCCTAAAATGAACGAACATTCCATCTTCATTAAAGAATGCCGGTTGTTTTCGGGCCAGCATATGGACAGCTCAGCTAATGCCACCTGTGATCCATGCTTAGGGGATTATACTGTCTTTGATCCAGGCCTGGATTTCTGGAGCCAAAGTCTTTGTTTACTTGGAGTCTTAGATTGCAGGGAGTTTGAGAGAAGATAAATAAAAACCACACTAAAAAAAAAAATCAAGTGGATATAATATTTCACAGGCTCATAGATTTAGAGGCTATGGCACCCAACCTTCTTGTTTTACAGATGAGGAAATGGAGGCAAAGATTAAATGACTTGTCCAGAAGCATACATCTAGTGACTGAAGTAGGACCTGAACGTTAGGTCTTCCTGAATCCAAGGCCAACATTCTTTCCACTGTTCCACCTAGTTGCCCTAAGTTTTACCTGCAACCAAAAAAAACCTCCCAAATCAAAATATTTTCCCTATTTATTACTCACTAACAAGCATTATTCCCCAATAATCTTTTTTTAATCTTAGATGAAAGTCCTTAGTCAATCAATTAGCATTTATTAAGCACTCCCTATATGGCAATACAAAAACAAAGATGAAACAGTTCCTACATTCAAGGAAGGAAACATTTAATTAAGATGCTCTTATGTACCAGGGATTGGTGCTTTATAAAGTGCTAAGCACTTTACAAATATTATCTCATTTGTTCCTCACAACAACCCTGGGAGAAAAAGCTATTATATGCCTGCTATTTTACAGATGAGGAAACTAACTGAAGCAGACAGGGGTTAGTTAAATGACTTGCCCAGGGTCACACAAGAAGTATCTGAGGCAGGATTCCAATTCGGGTCTTTTCTGACTCTAGGCCCAGCAGGCTCTATCCGCTGGGCCAACTTGCTGCATGAAGAAGCTTACATTCTACACGGGAGGTAATAGGTTAATATACAGGTATACTAACTATATATAAATGAGATACAAAGTAATGGAGGGAGCATGAGTACCTGGTGGAATTAGGAGCCACTTATCAGTGTAAAAGACTTGACTTGAAACTTGAAGGAAACTAGGGATTCACATTGTCATTGATTCATTGAGTGTTTAGTGAGCCTAGCAACATGCCCGGCACTGTGCTACAAACAGTGTAGGCTAGAAGTCAATGACTCAGTCCCTGCATCACAGATGTTAACAAACACTAAAGGTTTACTACGTACAAGGGACCAGAGACACAAAGAAAAACATGAAGCAATCCCTGCCCTCAGGAAGCTTACCTTCTATGGAGGGATATAACGTGTAAACAGGTGTGTGTGTGTGTGTGTGTGTGTGTGTGTGTACACACACACACACACACACACACATATATATATATGCATATATATGTATATATACATACACAAGTGTGTGTATATATATACACACACACACACACACACATATATTCACATACACACATATATACATATATATTATATACACACATGCACTTTTAAAACTACTTTGTATAACCTTGATTTATATATTATATAATATAATAATGTATATAAAATCAAATTTATTATATATTATTATATATAATCATATATGTAAATCGAGATTATTCTAAGTATTTCATTAGGGAGACAAAATTATCCCACAGGGTGGGAGAATATTGAAAAGTGTCACGTATAAGGCAACACTTCTTCTTGGAAGAAATCTTGAGGTTTTAAGGAATGAAGATGAGGAGAGAGAATATTCCAACTTTAGCTGGAGGAGGGGTGGTCCCAGTTCAGGGGGAAAAAGACAGGAGATAGAAAAGTATATGCGGGGAACAGCTGGCAGGTGGAGGGGATTAATATGAAATAAAAAAGGAGAGGTAGGCAGGAGCTAGACTGTAGAGGGTTTTAAATGCCAGGTAGGGGATTTTGTGCAAAATTTTAAGCATCACTCAATATAACCAAGGCATCTGTGGATACAAATGTATCTGTGGCCAAACCCTACTTTTAAGGAGTTTACAACCTAACATTTTTTGGAGAGATTAGACCTATGAGGAATTCCCAGTGTGTACACTCCCTCCACCAATGAAAATCAGTGTCTTCTCTACAGTTCTGGATCACAGATTTGGAGCTGGAAGATAACTAAGATGCCAGTCTACCCCCACCCCTCGCCATTTTTCACAGTCCTGTCCATCACACCCTGCTGCCTCT